ATATATATATATATATATATATATATATATATATATATATATATATAATAACCAAAATGAAGTTTTATTTGGTCAACTTTACAAGTTAAAGACAAGATTCACATTAGAGAAATCCATAATTCTAATGGTAATCTATTGAAATAAATATTTTTAAAATAGCATCCTGCTCTCCTTCTGATACAATACCGTGTTCCTCCTCCTCTGGTTATTCTTTTACTTTTTATTTTTTGAGATAGATTGTCATTTTAGTTTAAGCTGGCCTAGAACTCACTGTGTAGTCTGGACTTATCTCTTACTCAAGGATCTCCCTGTTTCCTAAGAGGTAGGATTACAAATGTGAGTCACCAAGCTAGGATAATTAATTGTTCTTTTCCTGATTTACACTATTATGAATTTTATCTGTTAAGATTTAAAATATACATTATTGTAGTAACCTTTCACTAAAATTACAAGTGTTATTTTTGTGTTTTGTGACAAGCAAGTAAGATTTTCACAATCATCATTCTATGAGACTATATATTCACATAGTTATAGTAACACACTGCTAGTATATACAAGTGTGTATGTATGTGTATGTGTGTGTGTGCATGTGTATGTTTTCAGTACAGGATAATATTTGCAATGTAATTTGTCTATGTCTTGGGAGAAATGATTTATAGTTAATTACTTACAAGAAAAAAATTAATTTTTATCAAGAAAAGTAAAAGTTAAAACCTCAGTTTTCATGAAACATCTAAAATTCAGTTGTTGCACTAAGGAAAAGCACAGACTATCTGAAACAATCCTGTATAATAAAAGATATTCTGGGGTGTCTCCAACCATGATCCCAAGCTGTACTATAAAGCAACAGTAACAAAAACTGTGTGTTATTTGCTCTGAAACAGTACAGTAAACGAAGGGAATTGAACTGAAGAGGAAAATAAACCCACACAACTACAGACACTTTATTTTTAACAAAGAAGCTAAAATCATACAATGGAAAAAAGCATCTTCAAAAAATGGTGTTGGTCTAACTGGATGACTACATGTAGAAAATGCAAGTAGATCCATATTTATTACCCTACACAAAACTAAAGTCTAAGTGGATCAAAGCCTTTAAAATAAAACCAGACACACTAAACCTGTTAGAAGAGCCTTGACCTCATTGGCACAGGAGACAACTTCCTGAACATGACACCAACAGCACAAGCTCTAAGATCAACAATCAATAAATGGGAGCTCATGAAACTGAAAAGCTTCTGTAAAGCAAAGGACACTATCATCAGAACAAAATGATAGCCTACAGACTAGGAAAAGCTCTTTACCAACCCTACATCCTACAGAGGGATAATATGCAAAATATATAAAGAACTCAATATATTAAACACCAAAAAAAAACCACACATCCCAATTAAAAAATAGGGTACAGAGCTAAAGAGAGAGTTCTTAAGAGAAGAATATAGACTGACAGGGAAACAAGGAAATGCTCAGGGTTCTTAGTCATCAGGGAAACACAAATCAAAAAGACTCTGAGATTTCATCTTACAACCACCAGAATGGCAAGTGATAGCACATGCTGGTGAGGATGTGGAGAAAGGTGATCACTTTCAAATCAGCTGTATTCATAATAAGCCGAATCTGAAAAGAACATAGCTGTCCTTCAACTGAAAAATGGAAAAAGAAACTGTGGTACATTTGCACAATGAAATACTATCAGCTATTAAAAACAAAACAAGGGGATCCAAGATGGCGGCTCTGAGAGGACATTCTTTGGGACGAGCAGTACAGCAGTGACTGCATAGTGACCAACAGACTGAACTCTGGGTCCTAAGACACCAACAATTGTGTTTCCCAGGTAAGAGTTTTCCAGGTAAGAAGCAATTTGGTCTATTATCACGTCACCCAGCAATATCCCAGAATAGTTCCTTGGTCCCAGCAGGCACTCAGTCACCAGCCCAGAGCCATATGCCTGTCTGTTCTGATCACCATCCCGGACTGAACTGTGGGCCCCACAACACCAGAGACTGGGTTTTCCAATCAAGAGAAAACTTCATGGAAAAGGAAGCAATTGGCAGATCATCCAGATAATCCATGGAAAAGGTTCCTGGTTCCAGCAGGCACTCAGTCTCCAGCACAGAGCCACATGTCTGTGCACTTGACTAAACATTCCAGACAGAAATATGGACACCAAAGCACCACAGACTGGGTTTCCACATTGGGAAGAAACCCTTCAGTGAGGAAAACATCAAGTACTATCTCAGGACAGCCAGCAAAACCCCCATCTCCTGAAAAGTTTTCCAGGAAAGTTCCCAGGTTCCTGCAGGCTCCCAGTCTCCAGCGAACTACTCTCCTGCACCTGCTTGTTTACTCACCATCCCAGAATGAACTGTGGGTCCCAAAACATCACAGACTAGGTCTCCCTGTAGGGAGAAAACCCCATGGTGGGAAAAATAAGGCCTGACACCAGGACATCCAGCTAATCTCTGGAAAAGCCCCTACTTTCCAACAAGCTCCAGGCTCTATCTTTGTGCTGAATGCATGAGTGCTGAGTTCACCTGCCACTGATTATCACTTGGGTACTGGAGCGTAGAGCTCCAACCTCAGATCTACAGAAGCCTGGGATCCATGGGATCAGCCCATAAGACACTGATCCTAGGCACAGCCTGTATCCCTACCTAAACTGGCCAAAGAATGACGCTCTCTGGTTCTTCAAGAGGGTTACTCCCAGCAAACCATTCAAGAGCAGCAGCAGCAGCTCACTAAATTCAGAGCAAGAAACCTAGTGGTAGGGCAGCTGTCTCCAGGACTTCTTCTGGTGAGAGGAGAGCCCCTTTGACTACCAGTGACCACAGTTACCACACAAGTCCATACACTTGAAGTGAGCTGTGGAAATTCCTGAAAAGCCCTGCATTAGGTGACCATATCAGAAAAGTTAGGGAGGTATCCTTCAGGTACAACCACTGTCCTGTCAAGGGGATTCTTCCTGCCACAGGATTCCAGCAAGCACCAGAAACTACACCTGAGACAGCCAGATATGTAGAGGCCAGGGTAAAAGCCCAACCAACAAATGCCAAAGAAATATAGCACCCCTAGAACTCAGTTATCCAAGGACAAGTAGCCCTGGATACCCTATCATAAGTGAAATTCAAGAAGATGACTTTACATCTATGCTTACGAAGAGGATAATAGAGGAAAAAATAAAATATTTAAAGAAATAGAGGAAGATAAAGTTAAACAGATTATGGCCATCCATAAATAAATAGAGGATGATGAAGTCAAAGGGATTATGGCCATCGATAAGAAAGATGCAGCCAAACAGTTTGTAGCCTTCAAAGAAGAAATAATTAAATCACTGAAAGAAATAAAAGAAACAAAGGAATGTTCAAACACTGAGGTGATGGAATTGAAGGAAGAGCATGAAAATATAGTCAGACAGTGAAGGAAATCAACAAAATGGTTCAAGATCTGAAGATAAAATTGGAAAAATTAAAGGAAACAAACAGAGGATAACATTGAGAGGAAGAACTTAGGGAAGAAAACAGGAACTAGAGAGCTAAGCATAACCAACAAACTACAAGAGATAAAAGAAAAAATCTCAGATGTGGAAGACAAAGTGGAAAAAAATCTATGTGTCCATCAAAGAAAATGTTAAATCTGAAAAATTCCTGACAGAAACCATTCAGGAAATACAAGACAACATGAAAAGACAAACCTAAGAATAATAAGAATAGAGGGAAAAATAGATTCCTGTCCCCAAGGTCCAGAAAGTATTTTCAACAAAATCATAGAAGAAAATTTCCCATTTCAAAGGAAAGGCCTATAAGCATACAAGAGGCCTACAGAACACCTAATAAATTAGAATAGAAAAGAATACTCCCTTCACATAGTGATTAAAACATAAGTATATAGAACAAAGAAAAAATACTTAAAGCTGCAAGTGAAAAAGACCAAGTAGCATATAATGGCAAACCCATCAGAATCACACCTGACAGAATCTGTAAAGCAAAGACACTCTCATCAGAAGAAAATGACAGCCTACAGATTGGAAAAGAATCTTCAACAACCCTATATCTGACAGAGGGTTAATATGCAGAATATATAAAGAACTCAAGAACGAAAAAGCAACGAATCAATTTATCCAATTAAAAATTGGGTTACAGAGCTAAACAGAGAATTCTCAATGGAGAAATATCGATTGACACAGGAAAAAAATCAAGAAATGTTCAACATCCTTAGTCATCAGGGAAATGCAAATCAAAATAACCCTGAGATTTCACCTTACACTCATCAGAATGTCTAAGATGAAAAACTCAAGTGACAATATATGCTGGACAGGATGTGGAGAAAGTGGAATCCTTCTCCATTGCTAGTGTTAATGTAAAGTTGTACAGTCGCTTTGGAAATCAATCTGGCACATTCTCAGACAATTAGGAATAGTGATTCCTCAAGATCCAGCTATACCACTCCTAGGCATATATCCAAAAGATGCTCAAGTATACAACAAAGACATTTGTTCAACCATGTTTATAGCAGTTCTATTTGTAATAGCCAGAATGTGGAAACCAAAGCAGATGTCCCTCAATTGAGGAATGGATACAGAAATTGTGGTACATTTTCACTGTGGAATACTACTCAGCAATTAAAAACAAGAAAATCACAAAATTTGCAGGCAAATTGTGGGAACTAGAAATTATCATCCCGAGTGAGGTAAGACAGAAGCAGAAAGACACAAATGATTTATACTTACTTATAAGTGGATATTAGCCATATTATATAGGATAAACATACTAAAATCTGTACACCTAAAGAAGCTAAGAAATAAAGAGGACCCCGGGTAAGATGATCAATCCTCATTCAGAAAGGCAAATTGGATGGACATAGGAAGAGTGAGAAAACAGGGAACAGGACAGGAACATACGACAGAGGGCTTCTGAAAGACTCTACCCAGCAGGGTATGGAAGAAGATGCTGAGGTTCATAGACAAACTTTGGGCAGAGTGCAGGGAATCTTATGAAAGTAAGGGAGATAAGACGTGAAGGGGACAGGAGCTCCACAAGGAGAGCAGCAGAACCAAAATATGTGGGCACTATGGTCTTTTCTGAGACTGCTACCCCAACCAAGAAACATGCATGGAGATACGCTAGAACCCCTGCACAGATGTAGCCCATGGCAGCTTAGGATACAAGTGGGTTCCTTAGTAAGGGGAACAGGGGCCGACTCTGACATGAACTCACTACCTGGCCCTTTGATCACCTCCCCCTGATAGGGAAACAGCCTTAGAGGCCATAGAGGAAGACAATGCAGCCAGTCCTGATGAGATCTGATAGGCTAGTGTCAGATGGAAGGGGAGAAGGCCTGCTCCCATCAGTGGACTGGGGAAGGAACAAGGGATAATAAGGTGGAAGGGAGGGATTAGGAGCAGAAGATGGAGGCTGCTACAGCTGGGATACAAAGTGAATAAATTGTAATTAATAAAAAAATTAGAAAAGTAAATTTAAAAATGAAAAACAAAAAAAAGTCATTCTAACTACCCCTTTTTTCATATGATTCTCTGCACTCTGCCAAAGGTTTGGTTATGAGTCTCAGCATCTGCTTTGATACACTGCTAGGTAGAGTCTCTCAGAGGCCCTCTGTGGTAGGCTTCTGTCCTGTTATTGTTCTTTTCTACTTCCCCTGTCCATCTCATTTCTTTCTAAGTGAGGCTTGATCATCTTCTTCTGGGTCCTCTTTCTTGTTTATTGTCTTTAGGTACACATATTTTAGTCTGTGTATCCTATCTTACAAGTCTATACTGTGTGTGTTCTTCTGCTCCTGGGATACCTCACTTAGGATGATCTTTTCTAGATTCCACCATTTGCCTGCAAAGTTCATGATTTCCTTGTTTTTAGTTGCTGAGTAGTATTCCATTGTGTAAAAGTACCACAATTTCTGTATCTATTCCTCCGTTGAGGGACATCTGGGTTGTTTCCAGGATATGGCTACTATGAATAAAGCTTCTACAAACATGGTTGAGCAAATGTCCTTGTTGTGTACTTGAGTATCTTTTGGATATATGCTTAGTAGTGGTATAGGTGGATCTTGAGGAAGCACTATTCCTAATTGTCTAAAAAAGCGCCAGACTGATTTCCAAAGTGGTTGTACAATTTTATATTCCCACTAGCAATGGATGAGGGTTACCAATTCTCTACAACCTCTCCAGCATATGTTGTCACTTGAGTTTTTAACCTTTGCCATTTTGATGGGTATAAGGTGAAATCTCAGGTTCATTTTGATTTGCATCTCTCTGATGGCTAAGGAGGTTGAGCATCTCTTTTGGTGTTTCTTTGCCATCCTATGTTCCTCTACAGATAATTCTCTGTTTAGTTTCATACCACATTTTTTAATTAAATTTCTTGATTTGTTGCTTTTTAATTTTTTAGTAGTTAGTATGACCTAGAGAGGACAGAAGCTCCACAAGGACCAAATATGTCAGGGCACAGGGGCCCTCTATGAGACTGTTTCTCTAACCAAGGACCGTATAAGGATACAACCTAGAAGTCCTGCCCAGATGTAGCACATGGTAGCTCAGTAACTAAGTGGGTGTCCCTAGTAAGGCAAACAGGAACTATTCCTGACATGAACTCAATAACTGGCTCCTTTACCCCCACCCCGAGGGAAGAACAGTCTTTCTAGGCCACAGAGGAGGACATGGCAGCCAGTCCTGAAGGTACCTGATAAGCCAGGGTCAGATGGAAGGGGAGGAGGACCTCCCCTAGCAGTGGACTTGGAAAGGGGCAGGGAGGAGATGAGGGAGGGAGGTGGGTGGGATTGGGAAGGAAAAAGGGAGGGGGTACAGCTGGGATACAAAGTAAATAACCTGTGATTAATATAAAAAATAAAAATTAATAAAAAAGGAAAAAACTTGTAGGCAAATTGATGGAACTAGAGAAGATCATCCTGAGAGAGGTATCCCAGACTCATAAAGCCACTCATGGTGTGTACGGACTTAGAAACTGATATTAGCAATTCAATACAGGATAACCATACTATAATCAACAGACCTAAAGAAGCCAAATAAAAAGGATATCCTAGGGAATATGCTTAATTCTCATTCAGAAGGGCAAACAGAACAGAAAGGAAATAGGGTAGATGCATACCGTTGATGTCCTCTGAAAGACTCCACCCAGCAGGAGATTGAAGCAGAAGCTAAACTCGTAGCCAAACTTTCGGCAGAGCTCAGGGAATCATACGGAAGAGTAAGGGGGATGAAAAGACACCAAGGGGACACGAAGTCCGCAGTGGGATCGACAAGGCCAACAAATCTGGGCCCAAGAGAACCTGCAGAGACTGCTGAATTATCCAAGAACTGTGCATGGAGAGGATCTAGACGCTTTGGCTCAGATGTATACAATAAGGGGCTCATCTCCATGTTGGTACTCTACTAAGGGAAGCAGGGGCTTTCTCTGACATGAACTCTGTTGGCAGCATTTTGGTCACTTCCCCTTGGTTGGGTGGCCTTGTCAGGCCATGAGGCATAGGGTGTAAGCAATCCTAATGAGATTTGATAGGCTGGGGTCAAATGGTAGGTGAGGGGGGGCTCCCCTTTTCTAGGGGAAAAGGATGGGGTTAAGAGGGATAAAGAGTGAGAGATGGATGAGATGAAGGAGGGTGCTATAATTGTGATGTAAATTGAATAAATTTTAAAAAATAAAAATCAGGAATGCTGGATGCTTTAATTTGATAATTCAGTGAACAGTAATTTTGTACTGAAGCAAACAAAAACTGTTAATTAGTATGTATTATCAGAGAATTGTAACAATGTATTTTAGAGCAATGAATTTTAAGTTCTAACTTCAAAGGCTCAACAACAAATTATAATAAAATCTCAAAGCACACCTTTCTTCTGTATAGCCTGTGGTTGCTGGAGAGTACCGTACAGTGTAGTTCATACATTCAAATGCACTCAGTCTCATTTCCTTTGATCCATTAAATGCAGAGGATGTTAATTTCACATCCATATGAATGCATCTGTCTTTTGGATTGGAGATGGGAATTTCAATACAGGTTGTCTCCTAGGATTATGAAAGAAAAAAAAAAGGATGATCAACTATTGTTGTCAAGATAATCATTTTTCTGGGTAGCAAACAGAAAAAAAAAAAACCTGTCATCCAAGGCCATTTGTACTAGTTTTTCCTTTCCTGGTAGCCTACTAAATATATCTTTACTAAATCTTAATCTCCTCTATGTTATCCCCAAATAATCTTGATAAACAATACATATTATAAAATAGCTTTTAATGTCAAGCACTACAGAAAGCCCTAACATAATTAAGTTAAAATGCTTTTCCCAAATAGCATTACCATGATGCCCATTTCCAATGGTTTCTTATGGTAATAACTTAGTGTTGGTCATGATGTTGCATATAATAATTTTCTAGGCAACCTGATGAAAGTTTATAAGACTACTATAGAACTTAGCATTTTAAATTTTTTCCCAGTGGTCAAACAAAAATACATACAGGAGAGAAGTATGGCCAGATAACAAATTTTAACAACCACCTACAGGCCTAACAATTTTCACTAGAAATGGAAAGAAAAAAATGGAAGGAAAACATTTGTGACTGCTCATTTATCTTCCTTTACTAGTCAAATATGTGTCAAACACACACACACACACACACACGAAGTGTTACATAGTTTCTAAGAAGAAAAAATAAAAAAGAAAGAAAACAAACCCCTCCAAATCAAGAAAACAAACAAACATAAACAACAACAACAACAACCTTTAGGCTCTTACTATTTTTTACGTTTTTGATACTTTTTTATTACCACCTTTTATTTCTTTTATTTCTCAATATTAATACTGGGCTAGCAAGTTGGCAAAAGTATTTGATCCTAAGCCTGACAGCCTAGTTCAATCACGAAGACCCATATAGAAAGAGAAAACTGATTCTTACAAGTTCTCAATTCCGCAAGTACACTGTGGTAAATACTCATACTTATACTCATACTCATACACACACACACACACACACACACACACTCACAGAGAGAGAGAGAAAGAGAGAGATAGAACAATTTTAGTCCAGCAGCATGTCTTCTCTGTCAAGGGATGTAAATAGGTCTATGTGATCTGGTGCAATGCAGATATGCTCGGTATTACTGTATGATCTGGCTAGAATACAGACACACCCTTAGTATATATCTTTAATCCCAAACAATGAAAGTAAGATTAGTTTATAAAACAAAGTGTAATGCCAGGTTCATGGGACGCTCAGAGACTACCAGGAGATGACTCGACTTGCAATAGCAAGAGAGCTTTATTACAACAGCGATCAAACTTGGGACCCAAGTCTCACTGATGCAGCAGTAGGGAAGTGCGATCTCGAGCTTGAGTGAGCAGGGTTTTTAAAGGGAAAGACTGCAAGCAGGGTGTTTCCATGACAACAAGCAGGGGGGTACATGTTTCTATGACAGCAAATGGGGGAGGGCACATGGCACATGCCTTGACGTTACAGAATTAGGTAGAAGTTAGAAGGGTGATGTGACCTTCTCTGAGGTACATAATCACAATTTCTTAAGGCATATGATCACAATTGCTATTCTTCTAAACTAAATCTGAAACATTGGGGAGAATTTTCCCAGCTGGTTCCCGCCCGATTCTCATCGATTATTGCCAGGGAGATTGTCTCTATTTTCTATAAAATATTTATTCTGTGATATTTCCTGGAGACTGTTGCTAGGAGAGTTAACTTTGTTTTTTTGCCAAGTGTACATTCTGTGATATTTCCTGGTACCGAATTCAGCTTCCAGTCAAGATGGTTCTTTATTAAAATGGAGTTATATTCAGGCTAATGTAAACTCTTCATTTCCCCCTTTACTTGTGCCTGAAGAGGTCAATCTTGGGCTCTTACAGTCCAAGGTCAACTTCAAACGGGCAGTACTGGGTTCTCATTACCATCAACTATATAGTCCCTAGTCTTTGCCTAATATATCCTAATTTGTAAAGCAAGCATGATCCAAAAATGACCAAAAGCAAAAGATTCTGCCTTTGAGCTGTTATAATTCTGGTTTTGTTCATCCAGTATTACAATACTAGTTTTTGCTCCAGCAGGTCCCCAAGACAATAGGTAATATCATGGAGCCCCCCTTGACCTAACATTTCAGCTTGTTAGGTATTTATTCTGTGATATTTCCTGGAGGTTGTTGCTAGGAGAGTTAACTTTGTTATCTGCCAATGTGTACATTCTGTGCTATTTCCCTGTACCTGAATTCAACTCCCAGTCAAGATGTCTCTTTATTTCAAAATGGAATTATACCCAGGTTAAATTAAACTCTTCAAAAGCAGGTATGTTTAAAATTGATGACTAATTGAGGGTCAGAAAAAATGATGAATCAGAGAAATATTTTACAATATGAATCAGAGATAGGATAGGCCCAATTTTCTCGAGAAAAGGACAGGAAAGAGAAGTTACTTAAGAATCATTGAGGAGTAGTAGTGGTAGGGTAGAGTAGTGTAATTGGAAAAGTATGTGTGGCAGTTTTACCGGGGCAATTTTACAAAGAGAGGCTATAGAGAGAATGAGCCAGAGAATGAGAAGGAGCCAGAAGATTAGAACATATTGCCTGAGTTGGTGTAAGATGAAACAGAGCAATTCAGTGAGAGGTTGAGAGAGAAGCCAGATTGAATCAGTTAGCTTGGAGAGGCTTTTGAGCCAGAACGACTGAGTTGAACCATCAGAAGGAGCTAGAAAAGATGAGTTTATTCAGCAATATGTCTTTGAGGCTGAAAACATTCTAGGCCTAGGTTAGCAGACAGAGTTTGGAAGCTAAAGTGTTCAAGGTCTGAGTTACAGAAGATTAGATTGTACAGAGCCTAGAAGCTGCCAGGTCTAGGTCTAGAGATAATTAGAACAAAGAAAGAAATGTTCTGGCCTCAGCCCAACCTTTGTAATTGTACAGCTTAGCTACAGCTCATTTCATCCCCTCAGCTGAGGAAATAAAAACAACATCCATACAAAAACACACAATGAAAATAAAAGAAAATAATGTATTTAACCTATACACATTTTAAGAACTATACATTAAACTCTGACCTGAACTGGAATAAAATAATAGAATTTAGAATATAAAATTTCTTTTAGAGAATATCATTCCTTTCTCTTTTTTAAATTATTATTATTATCATTAATTCCAATTTACTCAATTTGTATTCCAGCTATGGCCCCCTCCTTGTCTCTCTCCTCCCAATCCTACCCCCCTTCCTCTTCTCCCCATATGCCCCTCCCCTAATACACTGATAGTTGAGGTCTTCCTACCCTTCTACCTGAACCTAACCTATTAGGACTAATCAGGACTGGTTGTATTGTCTTCTTCTGTGGCCTGGCAAGGCTGCAAACACACAGACACACACACACACACACACACACACACACACACACAGGGGAAGATGATCAGAGAGCCTGTCACTGAATTCAGGCCAGAGACAGCCCCTGTTCTCCTTACTAGGGCCTCCACTTGAAGACTGAGTCTATGGGCTACAACTGAGGCTGGTTTTATAGGTCCTCTCCATGCATTGTCCTTGGTTGGGGCCTCATTCTCTTCAGGGACCCCAGAGCTCAGTATTTTTGGCTCTGTTGCTCTCCTTTTGAAGCTCCTGTCCCCTCCAGGTCTTTCTATCTCCCTCTTCTTTCATAAAATTCCATGCATTGTGTCAAAAGTTTGGCTATGAGTCTCAAGCTCTGCTTCAATACCTCCATCAGTAGAGTTTTTCAGAGGTCCTCTGTGGTAGGCTCCTGTTCTGTTCCTTGTCTTCTGCTTCTGATGTCTGTGGAATTTGCCCTTTGGGAATGAAGAGTTAACATCTTCCCTAGGGTCTTCCTCGTTCTTAGCTTCTTTAGGAGTATAGATTTCAGTATGTTTGTCTTATATGTCTAATAACCACTTATGAGTGAGTATATACCATGTGTGTCTTTCTGTTTTTGGGTTACCTCACTCAAGATGGTCTTTTTTCAGTTCCTGCCATTTGCCTGCAAATTTCAGAGCATATCATTCTTAACAACACTTGAACAAAAAAAAATAATTTTGTATGTGTGTATATGTGTGTTCTTGAGTCAAGAATTTGCTCTGAAGCCCAGGTATTCAAAATTCTGTCTCCACTCCTCAAATTCTGGGATTATAATCATATACCATTTTGCCTTACTGGAAATCACTATTACACTTTCTGTTTTCTTTGTGAAATATGATTTGTGCAACAAAAATAAACATTAATTTTGCAAGAAAATTATAATATTCTATGCTCCCCAAATCCTTAAAATTATATAGAATGTGAAGAAGAAAGCCATGAGGCACTAATATTATAGTGTCTCCTTTGCATCCTTGCTATATCAATGGCAATTTGTCTCTACCTAATTTCTTTACTCCTAACTAGTAGGTCTATAAACATTCTCATTCTTTCGGAGATGAGCATTTAGACAAAAACATCTAAATGCTTACTAACACTCCAATCTCTTAGGAATCTCTGGAGTATAACTCTTTGGACTAATTAAAAAAACATGTTTTATTATACTCACAAAATTTAATTTTACTGTTTTGCTACATATCTAAGATGGTAGAAAATTGATCAAACTTTATAACATTTGGTATGTAATTTCATCAAAGTTTTAATAGTATTTTCTTACAAGATCAAATAAAAATCCCATAAGTGACAATTTAAAAGTGTGGTTTCATACAGAAACTCTGGAGTTTAAAAATATGCCAAAATATTATTGAAAGCTTAATTTTCTATCAACAAATATTTTTAAGAACATAATTTAGATATAGTTAGTATGTTTGATGTGTTCAGTATGATAAGTTATTTGGCATTCATCAATCTGTGAGATGATAAACATCTTTTAGTCTATATTTTGGTTATTTGAATAATAACCAAAATACATCATCATTTGAAGCTAATAACATTATTTATAACATTGAATGACTCCAGAGGTCTTAATTCCCAATACTCTGGTGATCAAGGCAGGAAAATTATGAAATTTAAGGGAAGAAGACCTTCCCAACAAGTACTCGTGTCCAAA